AAAAAAAATCTAAAAAAATCAAAACTTTATCAATATGATAATATACATATGGCTCAAGCATGCTTTCATTAGTCAAAAGCAATCCACACATGGAATCCAAGTCAATCTTACTCATTTGACCAAATCAGAAGTTCTGAAATAGATTTTAGACGTTTCATGAATGTTGAAAAAAAAAAAAAAGGAAAGATTTTAGACATTTTGGTTTAGAAAAGTGATTTTGTAGTCATTAATAAGAAGCATTCTCTTAACATAAGAAAAATCCCTTCCTCAATACTTTTAAAATATACAGTTCGCATTTAACAGACCATAAAACTTTAACTTTTTTGTATTAAAAGAGGGCAATTAGTACATATTTTAGAGATAACGGAAAATGAGGGAAGGGAACTCATGGGGCTTGATCATGTAACCCATGAGAGGTGATGAAAAATGGGGTTCAACTTTTAACTCTTTCAAACGGTTTAATTTAATTATTAATCTATTAATTATTAGTCTAATTTTAGTTTGGTGTACTAAGTTTTTTTTTTTTCTAAAAAGTTTATAAACTTTAAAAAATATTTTAGAATAGTTAATTGTACAAAACTCTCATTAATTTAAAAAAAATAGTAGAAAAATTAAATTAAAATCAAAATAGAATAATTCTCATCAACAAAGTAATTCACGACAGACTGTACAAACTATTAAAACATATCAATAATTGTGATTTTTATTACAAAGGAAAATTGTCAAAAGGAAAAAGCTAAAGATGTGATAAAAGTTACAATTCTATAAATAATAAAAAGAAACTTATCATTCTCACAAAATTAGTTTTATTTCAAAATTTATTTCAAAGAGCAAAAGTTCATAAAAGATATAATTGAAAATCAATTTGATCAAAATGAAATAAAATTATTATTAAAAAGTTAACCAACTAAATTAAATTAAAATAAAAGTAAAAAATAATAGATGATTTTGAAAATAATTAAAAATAATAGGCAAAACAGAAAAAAAATACAATAGTTACTAAATTGTTTATCAAATTAAACCCTTTCAAACACTTGGACACATAAAAGATAGAATAGACATTTAAACACTCGATTTTATTTGTGCAAAATCTAGCTTTGCAACTTGCCTAACAACGTTGTAGGTAGTCATTTTATATGCTAGACAGCTAGAGTCATTCATTCAACCTCAACTGTTCAAGCAGGAATACTTACAAAACCCGGGGGTTTCAAGGAGATACTGTAGTCTTGATGTCTACTGAAGACTGGAGTCCTCCAAGAGCTTAGAGACCTATAACATGGGAGGCCTCAACCTCCAAAATAACTAAAAAGACTACACTTCCCATGGCTGATAAGTGCTATCAAGAATGGGTCAATTTCTATAACTTCCTCCAATTAAGATCCAATTGTCCGGGGATTCTTTTCAACAGAAACTTGAAAACCATTTTACCAAAACTTCCTCTCTCTTTCCAAAGACTATCCACAAAATACAATCCATCATAGACGTACTTGTAGCCCTCGGTCTTCTTCATCGTTCTTGCACCCATTGAAGCACACCCAACAGAGTTTTTCTTGTACTTTCGGATCACCCTCACTGGAACTTTTGCTTCCATGTTATTCTTGAGTGCAAGGTTCCCTCTTTCGAGTTTTTGATCCTTAAGTTTTCCATTTCCAGTTTGTACATTTGGGTTTTCGCCTTGTCCACAGTATACCAGTGTGTTAAAAGACCCCACGCCATTGGCATATCGACCAGAATCAACAATGCTGGTGGCTAAAATTTTCTCATTTGGTAACCTCATGTAATCTATTCCATTTATGAGCTGATGATGAAGACCCACAATTTTCAATTCAGCTCTCCACAGAAACTCATCCCCAATTCTGATCCCTGGAACATGACCAAATTGCTTGCTCCTGTTGACCCACCTCCCCTGTTTTCCAAGTAGCTTGGCTGCCATGAGATGATCACTCCAATGAGTCCCATCTTTGCATTTCTTTCGCCGTTCTCTTGAGAACTTGTAGAGATTCTCCCTGTAAAGATACACAGCCTCCTTTACTTCTCTCCTCCGAATACTCCATTCTGTAACACCAGCCTCATCTTTGTGTCCAGGAAACATTACTTTCTGAGAACCGGCATCAGGCAGAACTTTCTTCTCATTGCATTTGGACAGCTTGGGAGGGTTTAGCAAAACCCCTTCATCTCTTCGATTCCGATTCACGTTAGACATGATTACTTCTGTTATGAAACACCCAAATGTTAGAAAGTACATAACTCTCAGAACCTAAGTGCAACTGTGCAAATTCTACAAAAAATCAAAAGGTTACTCAAAAAATAAGAACAGAATGAGAAGAGCAAAAAAATCACATACTAAGTAAGAATGAAAAGATCTTTTCCTTTACAACTTAGTAGCACAGAGGAAATATAAAGCAAAGACCCACATAACAAACGCAGGGGCTAGGAAACTACGGAAATTTGGGAACCCCAAATAAAAAACAGAGCATGAATTCGATGTAACCAAACAAATTCTGAAGATAAAAGGTTTGCACTGGAGCAAAGAACAGAAAGTGTATGCATAAATCAGAGAAAATGTAAAGCAAAACCCACATAACAAACATTAAACAAATAACAAAGTGAATATTATTAGGAGATAGAATCAATTTCTACTGAAAAAAAAAAAAAGAACAGGGGGAATTGAAGAACAATTGAGCATCATTCTGCCCAAAACTTGGAGATAAAGCAACGTAAATGCAGAAATGAAATCAGAAACCAATAGGCAAGAAAAATTGCTCAAACCTGCACCGTTTGTGGGAATGAAAAATGGGTATGGTAAACGAAGAGAAAGTGAGAAAGCCACACAAAACAGGACCCCAAACAAGTGTATATATGTATTATTGCATAAGAAAAGACAATCAAGAGTAATTAATCAACTCACCAAGACCACAGAATGCAGTTGAAGAACAAGAAACAAAGAATAATTAAAGAGAAGATGAGTACGTACTATTTACAGTACACAGTCAACAATGTGGAAGAGAAGTCAAGCACAGCAAATATGGAAAAAGGACAAGAGGAGAATAAAGAGAAAATAGAGAAAAGTAGGGGGAGACCCACTTTGGAGAGGCTACGCGGAAAATGATGAAGATTTGGTGTAAATAGAGAAGGGTATTTTGAGGAAGAAGTAACCGATTGAAGATGGCAGGAAGCAGAGAAATGAGATGGAAATGGAAAAGACTCAAAGGAGGAGGTTTTGAAGGAGGTGTACGTTGGAATGATCTAATGAGCGAGAAGAAATAGTAACGGTTCCGCGAGAAGGACGGATTATGCCAGTCCCAATATTCCCTACGTGCTTGCTTTTTGAACTTTTACGGTTACCTTAAGTAACTTTAACTTTGATTTTTTTTTTTTATTAATCTCTTTGTTATTCAATAATTATATTGACTTCCGATTAATTCAGAATCAAGTTACGTTAAGAAAAGTTCTCTCCGCGCTTATTTTTTCATTCATAAAATTAGAATTTGAGATTTTATTTAAAAGAAATTAAATTTTTTGTACTCAGACCAATAAATCATTAGTAACTTTAACTTTGATTACCAGCCTCTCTTAATATTAAAAATGTTAAAAGACTGAAGGTGAATTTACTTAAATATATGTAATAAATATTTATAAAGTATTAATTTATTAGGAGCATTTAAGTTTTTTATTTATTATTTTTGTATTTTAGTTGTCACGACATCTTGATTCTATTACAATTTCCTTAACTTTTTACGAGCGCAACTTTTGTGTTTAGGGATTAACCATAATTTTTGTACCAACTATACAGTTTGATGATAGATTTATATGTACTCTTAATTACTATTATATAATTTGATCATTAATGTTTACATACTAAAAACAATAAATTCATATAAAATGCATTTAATACGAGTGCCTAAAAGCAAGTAAAAGTTGAAAATCTCAACTTCTAAAGTTGAAATTTTGAAGATGGTGGGGGAGAGAGACTCTATCCAAATATAGAGTATACTCATTTTTAATATAAAGACAAATGAATATATATCATAAAAATTTTAAAAATTAATAATAATTATTATTTATATTTAGAACTTAATAATAACAAATATTAGTATTTATCAATCAAATCTCACAAAAATTAAAAAGAAAATTATCTTAAAATTATATCATTTTATTAAAGTACCATTAGAAAAGATTAAAATAAACTCATTCCTACTTTAAAAATAGTTTAGTTTAATGTTTTTTTAATAAGAATTTATTAAAATAACGTAATTATAGATATTTTTTCTTTAATTTTTTTAAAGATATAATTGACAAATACTTTTTCCATAATAAAGGATCTACTAAAAAATTATCATGTAGAGTTTTAGCTTTCATCTCTTTAAAAGTTCAAAAATTAATTGAGTCTTTTAAAAAACAGCGTTTGAAGCAAGTCTAACTTGTGTAGAAAAAAGAAATATTTTTAAAAAGCAAATATCCTTAAAAAATGAAAAGCAGTGAGCTTTTATTTTTTGCTAATGAAAAAAAAAAAAAAGAGAAAAGAAAGTGATGTTGAAGAGTTTGATTGGCTTCTTGCTTTTTAGTATGTACTATATAGTTATTGAATGTTTCACATTTAAATACTCCAAAATATTGGATAAAAACATGAATTTGAGGCAACAAATAGTGTATTAGTTAGTTGCTCAATCCTTAATTACCTTGTTCAACAAAGTACTGTGACTAGCAAAGTCACCGTCAATTAATGTTGATTATAGCGCTGCTCCGGCTCCTAAAGAGATCACAAAATACAGTTTTTTGAAATTTTTTACTTTTGATATTAGATGATTTGCTTTCAAGGCTTCAAATCAAGGTTTGAGAGTCCTACAGAACATTATGCTATAGATAACAAAACATATCTTCAAACGCTATATATAAAGGACATTGTGTGTGAACGATTTGGAACTGGAATATTCTACACACAAATAAAGAAAAGATAGGTTATAATTTGGTTAGAGCATACCATAAGAAAATAGACATTTTGTGATAGAGAATTAGTTATAAAAATTTATATTTTTTTCATCATAAATTAAATTTATATCTAAAATTTGAGTTTTTGTTATTAATTTTATTATCGACCAATTCTATCACCGCAAAATGCTCATTTTCTTGTAGTAACCTGTGGATGTTAGAAAAATTGCCAAAAAAACTGAACTTCACAAAGCGGCTTGATGGTCACGCGTCTCATTGAAGTCGGTGGATTATTTACTAGATCTAGAGATTGAATACTCAATTATTAACATGTAACAATACTAACCTATTAACTATTGCTCTTTTGAAAAAAAAAAAAATGCCAAAAAAACTGACCGGCAGGTTAATAGTCATGCGATAAGACGCAGGACCAACTAGAAAGTAAAACTTAATGATCTTTTGATTCGTGAAAAAGTGATTTTTAATAAGCATATAGGTAACATGACTTGGTAATATTTACATGTCAAGAAAAATATTTGTTTGCTCATGAAACAAACAAGAGGTTCTAATATTAGAGTTTCGTAATTTTACCAAATCAATTGTACCAAACAATAAAAATTAAAATTATTAAATAAGAATGTGGATTTTATCTTTTTTTCTAATGATTTAAATTTTACAATTT